ACTGTCATGAAAATATTTACTTTCAAATCCACACAGAAAAATATTTTTTAAATTTAACAATGTTTGGGTGAAGCTCTGAAAATTGTCCTCCTACCACCAGACCACACAGTTTTACAGTTGACTGGGCCACAAAGGAGCGAGTAGTGTATCTATTGACATAATCTTAGTATTGATGCCTGCACACAGTCAAAAGAAACATCTTAAATCAATTCTTCTGAGCTAAAAGAAAAAAAAACACACACAAAAGGTCCTATCTACGACTACATATAAATTTCACTGATCTAACACTAGTCAGTCACGTTTGGAAGAAATAAGACCAAATATTTTTAAAGTTAGAAAAAGAACAGTACAATAAAGCTTTTATTATTTCAAACCTTAAAATGACTAATTATCCTAGGAGCAGAGTTTTCTGCCAGGCAGCTAATTTATCAGTGACCTATCTGCCAGACAACAATTTAAAGCCATTACATTTTTACTCTTACCTCCAAGCTTTTTTCCTATCTACTTGTACATAAGGTCACAAAGGAAACAAAGAAAATGGTATGCATTAGTAGCTTAGAACAGCAGTTCCCAATTGCTAATCTGCAGACTGGCGGTGGGCCACAAACTGCTGGCTGCTGCAGCTCTGGGATCCAGGACTGGAGTGGGGGAACATCACCCAGAGCCACTCCTACTACGGCAACTATTGGGAGAGGCATGTCCTTCTGCCTCTCAGCCAACCAGCGCTGGGGCTGCTCCCACCATACAGGAAAGCGCTCTTCTGCGTCCAGGAGGAGACCCAGCCCTGCCCAGCAGTGATTGGCTAAGGCAGAGCAGGACAGGCCTCTCCCAACAGTCATGGCAGGAGGATAGGCGCTGGGCCATGTCCCCCAGACTCAGCCCTCCGAGTCACGCAGGCAGTAGTGCTCAGTTGCAGGCTAGGAGGCAGCACAGGGCTAATGAGGGGAACAGGGCAAATGCTGGAGGGCTTTGGGGGTGAGGGCAGCTAGAACTGGAGGGCGTAGGGGTGGGGCTAATAGTGGGGGGCTCTGGCAGCAGGGTTAATAATGGGAACTGGCACTGGGGGGAGTTCTGAGGGGATTGGGTGCAGTGGGTTTCTGGAAAGAGGAGGGTCTGGTGGTGGGAGGCTCTAAGGGGCGGGAGTCTGGCATTGAGATGTTTGGAGTGGGAGCTGTCACTGGGAGGCTCTGAGGGTGGAAGGCTGGCACTGGGGGAATTGGGTGCAGGGGACTCTGGGGTCAGTGCCTGGCATTGGGGGAGGAGGGTAGTGGAGGGCTCGCACTGAGGAGCTCTAGGGACCAGCAAACCCATTCAAAAACTTCTGGCGGACTGGAGGGAGAGGGAGAGGGAGAGGGAGAGGGTGTGGGTGCCATAATAAATATGCAACTAAAATGTTGCCAGTCTGCCAAAAGTTAGTGAATGGGTTTGCTAGTCTCCGGTATCAAAAAGGTTGGGACCCACGAGTTCAGAATGTTACTTGAACTTCAAGCTGAGATTGATATTGTCAGTGACCAAACTCTTCACAAGTAAGCAGCAACATATGAGTATACGGTTATCCTGAGGCACAAGGATTTATGCTTGCAGCATCCATTAGCATTAATGGGAGATGCACAAGTAAGTCTCCATTCCTTGATATAAAAACATAAACCTTAGTCTCAATTCTTTATTTAAAAAAAAAAAAAAGTCATTTTTCTGCAAGGATATTGACCTAAAAGTACACGTACTAAAAAATTAAATACATTAATCCCTATGCCAGATAGAAAATATTTGTGGCCATGGATGAGCTATCTAAATGTTATATCTATATTTTATACCAGTGGTCCCCCAAACTTCTCAGGATCATGCAGCTTCACTCTGGAACTGGGGGCAGAAGCCTGAGGGAGGAGCAAATGTGGATAGCAGTAAGAGGGATGCAACTGGGGACGTGCTTGGGACCAGAGAAGAGCCAGGGGTAGAGCAGAGCTGGGTGGAACTCCCTCCTACCTTCCACAGCAGCTGGCCTACACCTTCCTGATCTTCCTCCTTGAGGAAAGGGGCACACTACACTTTGCGGACCTCTGGTTTATATATTCCTTTGCAAACAATCCATCTTCTTATCAAGGATCCTTGCATTTAATAAGCAGCTAACACTTGATGATGCTATAGAAAAGCATTTAAGGAGGAATAAAAAAATTGGCATATCTGAAGTAGAGTTTTGCTTACTGCCAACTGTCAAATTTAATTTTATGGCAGATCTGAGTTCTAAAGTCTGTCTAAAGTCTAAACCATCCTTGCTCAAAATTCAGCCTGATGGTTTTTCCTTTAAATGAAAAAATGGACTAAGACTTGGGCACAAGTCTGACCTACTATAAAGCAGAATGCATTGCTTCTGTAGTCAGGAAGACAGCAATTAGTACACAGGCTTTTATGAACATTGCAAATAAAATCAAAATATCTACTGAGAGACGTGTTCAGACATTAACT